AGTTCCTCACTGTCTGTTCCTATTGATGGGCAGTGGAGATTATCTGCGGTTTCCAATGGATGCCACTTATCTGAGTGTGGTTGATTAATCTCTACCATTGGTCATCTTGATGGGCAGTGGGGTCCAATTGTGCCCCATATACATATGCCTTCTGTGTGATACACTTCCCCTGTTTTGGAACCAATGAAAGTGAATTCAATTTTGTGTATGGCATACATGCAACACATCTGGTGATCCATATCACGGCATAAAATATGTGGTCACAAGGGTCATCATCGTCCAATCTATGGGTTGGATGTCAATGGAAAGAGATTGGGGCCTATTAAACTTAAGTCAATTGCACAGCCTACTCTCACCATCATTGTCCATCCCGTTGGTTGGATGCTGATGACCCTTATGATGGCATATTTAATATGTTTATATGGATCATAACACACTTGTCCTAGTTTTTTTCTATTCGTTGCGTGGGTTGAATTTGGATTAAAATCAAAATATTTGTGCTGAATCTTTTGCAGTTAAGATAGAATCGGCAGGACAGCTACCCCCCGAAACTCTTTTCACCGAGGCTGTGAAAATCTTGGAAGACAAGTGTGAGCGTGTGATCACCGAACTCTCATGAATCTTTCTTTTCAGGGGCAAAATATCAATTATAAGTTATTAAAAAGAATTGATATAGGCAGTTTTCCTATCTAAAAAAACAGAATATAGCTTTTCTGATTCCTGGTTGAAGAAAGGAAAAAGAAATATGTTTGCTGATTTGGTTGTACCAAATTATGGTGGCAGAGTTGTAACAGATGAGTGTTCTTTGTTGTTTGAGAGGCCTTAGGAATTTTTGGGAAGTTGATGGTTGTGAGACTGGATGCCCATTAGTTACATGTGGAAAATAGATATCGAAAATTAGTTGAGGATAATTTGAAAAAGTGTAATGACTTATCTTCCAATGCCCTCGCTCTCTTTCTCTCTCATGACTTATTTTGCAATGTTGTATATATATCTCTCTCTCTCTCTGCTGGTGATTCATAGCATATGTAAAGGTGTTGGAGGAGATGCTTTCATAGTGGTTTTGGTAACTGCTTTTGGAGTGGTTTTGTTTATTGCTTCCATTTTACTTCATAAAGGGTCAGCTTTTATTGCTTCACTTCCTAAATAAGACTTCCGTCAATGATTTGTTTTCTTGCATCTTGAGGTTGTGTTGGCTTGAATGGCTTCCCTATAATAATCCTTATCAAGAAAGGGACTGTATGCTCGGGTACACGGAGCTCACAATTGCTTATAACTATTCGATGTGAAATCTGACGGCTTGGTACAAGGAGCTCGCAATTGTTTATAACTATTCGATGTGAAATCCGATGGCTTGGGTTATTTGTTTGAAAAATTTTCTTGACTTTTAAGCCTAGTCACAAGAGGAATTGCAACCCATAATTTTAGGGGCAAGCTTTCTATGTTTCCCCTACAGTATAAACTTATATACTTCTCGTTATCCAACCCTCTATTTTGAAGGGAGGGTTAAGATTATTATTCTATTTTTAATTTTTTTCTATAAACCATTTTGACACCAAATTTTGGATGTCCAATCCTCTATTAAACTTGTACCAGCAAAAAAATATGAAACAAATATTTTCAATAAAATAGAATGATCAAAATACCTGGAAAAGTTTCAAGAGGTATTTTGGTTATTATATTTTATCAAAAAATTATTATTTTTAATATTATTTTATAGGTGTGCCTTTAGGAGAAGATGACGCGTCACAAATTTCATATTCATACAATTTGTATAAAAAAAACTGAATAAAATACTTTGAGATGTCGGATCTAAGATCAAATGGTGAGTGACTCTCTTGATCAAAATTGGACGGTTGGATGATAAGGGAAGCATAGATCTTCTATGCTGTAGCGGAACTATAGAAACCTAATTCTAGAGCTTATTTAAGACTATTTTTGCAAAAAGAGACTATTAAAATGTAGGAGCTTATATTAGACTATTTTTGAAAAAGAGATACTACTAAAATGTAGGAGCTTATTTTAGACTATTTTTGAGAAAGATATACTACTAAAATGTAGGAACTTATTTTAGACTATTTTTGAAAAAGAGATACTACTGAAATGTAGTTCTCTTTCTATAGCCTACTTTAGACGTGGATTGATGATCTGAAATGCATCCTAAGTCACTCTAGACGTTTTTGCTTCTGATCCATAATCTTATAGCTTAAAGAATAGTGCAGATCTGATGATATGTAAAGAATTAGAATGAATGTTGATGAATGATCTGAAAGCAAAAGGTTAATATAATCTGTTTTTAAGGTTTTATTTTTCATAGATCTAAGATGGCGGTTGCCGACGACTGCCAAAAATATTTGTCCAAAATTCATCTTTGAGATAGACTTTTAAGAAGACTGCATTGCATAGTAGGACTAGGAACAAAAACCTGTTTCAAAAACACAGGAGTATTTAGAATCATGAGTGTTTAGAAAAGGAAATGCATACTTTAAAATCAATTACGCTTGGCACATGAGGTTACAATCATTATGGATTGGTAGATGTTAAATCGAGTGATTGGGTATGTAACATTGACTAGGAATGAAGCCTAAAATAAAAAATTACTAATATTGTGCAACATTTCAACGTGTCAATTTCCTATCCAATGGATAATATGTTAAATTTTTTTTCTAATATGGTGACTTAGATTGCCATATCCCAAAAATTGTTCTGGATTGGTGGATTGAGGATTCGGCTGAGAGAACGAGAAAAAAAAAATTAAAAATTTTGAGAAAAATTAAAAATTTTGAGAATAAAAAAATTGAAAAAAAAAAAGAGAGTAGTTTCGAGACAGAATCGGCTGGTTCCCAACAAATTGGGGGAATCAAACTCGCCCCCTCAATTCCCGGACCAGATATGGTGGTTCTAATCTGGATTGGTGCTTTTTAAACCCTAGTTAATATCGATTACACCAAACGTAAATGGTCTCATTATATGCAATTTTTTTAATTTTTTTTAAAAATACTAAAAAATAAAAATATTTAAGAGCACTATTAATCTCAAGGGAAAGCTTTCTATGTTCCTCCAGCAACGTAGAAGTTCTATGTTCCCCCTTATCCAACCGTCCCTTTTTGAATGGAGGGCTAAGATTGCCCCAATCACAATGTCACGTCTCTACACTG